ATAAAAGTAGTAACAGTGTTCGTTATAGACAATCCAGCCTGGCAGGCAATCCCGACACTTTGGTTTCACTAGACAAGGGGAAAGAGCAGAATAAAGTGATTATTTTATACACACACACAGAGACACACACAGACACATATATAATATTTAATATATATATTATATATATATCTATATATATATATATATATATTAATATTTAATTATTATAAAATTATTTAATATTTTAATCATTAAAATTACTCAAGCAAAGCTTTTAAAGATAGAGTGCAGATCTGCCTTTAGATAGATCTAAAGGCAGATCTGCACTCTACCTTTTAAAGGTAGAGTGCAGATCAATATTGGAAGGTGATTAAATTACGATATCATTCTAGTCAGAAGTGGCATACCACAGGGTTCACTAAAAAACAAAAACAATATTCTCTGAAATTAAAACTTGGCTGTAAACCTGTTGCTAATGACTTCATTTTACTGGCTCACTTTGTTGTCAGAAAAGTGACCTTCAGCACTCAACCTGTGATAATAATGGTCAGCTATGTCTTGAAAAACTGTTTATAACAGAATATTTCAAAAATAAAATGAGTAATCAAGAGTTTCAGAGATAATGTAGAAATATAATTACTATGTTCAGGACAGAACTCTGAAACTGGAAAGTTTTTATGCTGCAAGACGAATTTCTTAAAACGCTTCAGGTCCGCTGTCTCTTTGCATCGATTCTCTTCTTCCTCTCTCGATACTCTCAGCTCCTCTTTCTCTTTGTCCAGCTCCTCTTTCTCCTTGTCCAGCTCCTTTGTTATGTTGCTCAGCTCATATTTGTCTTTTATCAGCTCCCCTTCCCCTTTGTTTATTTCCACTCTCTTTTTATTCAATTCTTCTTTCTGTTTGGTAAGCTCTGCTTTCATTTTGTTCAGCTCTTCTTTCTCTTTGTTCTGCTCCACTCTTGTTTTGATCAGCTCCTGTTTCTTTGTGCTCAGCTCCTCTTTCTGTTTGCTTTGCTCCTCTTCCTTTTTGCTCAGTCTCTCTTTCTCTTTTGTTAGCTCATCTTTCTCTTTGTTCAACTGATCTTCATTTTTGTTCAGCTCCTCTTTCTCTTTTCTCAGCTCATCTTTCTTTTTGTGGAAGTCATCCTTCTTTTTGCTCAGCTCCCCTTTCTTTTTTGTCAGCTCCTGTTCCTTTTTCTGCAGTTCTTCTTCTTCTTTGCTATGCTCCTTTTGCTCTTGCCTCAGCTTCTCTTTCTGGTTGTTTACCTCCGTTTTGTTTTTGCTCAGCTCTGCTTTCTCTTTTTCCAGGTTCTCTTCCTCTTTTACCAAGTCTTCTGTTCTGCCTTTTAGGTCCTTGACTGAGCCCAGCTCCTGTTCCTCTTTTCTCAGCTGCTCTTGATCTTTGTTCAGCTTCTCCTTGTCTTTCTTCAGCGTCTCTCTATCTCTCTTCGTGTTCTCTTTCATTTCGTTCAGTAAATATTTCTCTTTGCTCAGCTTCTTTTCCTCTTTGTTCAGCTCTTCTGTTTGTTGGTCCAGGTTCTCCATCTCTTTGTCCAGTTCCTCTTCTTCTTTGATAAGCACCGTTTCATTTCGATTCAGCTCCGCCCTGTCTCGGCTCAGCTGCTCTGTGTCGTGGCTCAGCTTCTCTCTTTCTTGCCTCAGCTTCTTTCTGTCTTGGGTCACCTTCACTCTGTCTTGGGTCACATTCTCTCTGTCTTGGCTCAGCTGCTCTAAGTCTCTGTTCAGTTCCTCTCTGTCTTGGCTCAACTTCTCTCTGTCTCGGATCAGCTCTGCTAATTCTCTGCTCAGCTGCTCTCTGGTTCTTTTAATATTCTCTCTGGCGTCAAACATTTCTTCTCTGATCAAGAACACGTCTTTCTCTCGGATCAGCTTCTCCATCTGGTTCTCCATCTGCTTTTGTTGCTGAACCAGGTGACTTCTTTCAGTTGTAAGTCTGTTGATATTTTCATGCTGCTTGTTTGTCGTCACACTCACTATTAAAAACACACAAATGAGTCAGAAAGTCATTCAAAGTATCTTTATCAGAGAAGCATTAACATTTTCAGTTTCTCAGTCCTTTCCAAGGATATCAGACAGCATTCTTAGGGTAGAACCAAAGGACAGTAAACTGTAATATCTGATAATCTTGTTTATTGTTGGGGGTTGCATGGTGATAGCTTGCAGTAATAAGGTCCATTGATTAGGACCCTGGAGTCCATCTGTGTTGAGTTTGCATGTCCTCCTGGTTGATGTGCAGGTTCTCTCAGAGTACTCTGGCTTCCTCTCAGAGCCCAAACACATGACTATAAGCGGTCTCTCTAAACTGCCCTCAGGAATGAGTGTGTGCATGGTTTGCTTGCCCTGATAGTATCTGTGCTGCTATTTGATAGACTGGTGACCTGTTAAAGGTGTAGCCTATCTCTTGCCCAGTGACCATGTGAAAAACACACCAGCCTGCCTAGCATCGCTGCATTTGTAACTGGTTAACTTAAACGAGAGGTGTGGCGATCGATCGGCCACCAATCATAATCGGCCGAAGTTGTGCACACTGGAATAATTTGATTACATCTATTTATTGAAACGACGGTCCTGTTTTATTATACAGGCCAGGTCAATGGCGAGCTGATTGTCCAGGCCGAGAGCCTTAAAAAGATTGCACTTGTAGAGGCAAAGACTTCTGCTTTTCCTGCCAGGCTGGTAGGAGGCTCCTTGCTGTTTTTACATTTGAGTAAACGCAGCCATTTTAACAAACTGAGATTAACTAAGAGGTGTCCCAACAACAATTTAGACTGAGGTTCCCTGAGGGGTTGTTTGCCATTTATATGACCATTAAGAAAAGTCATATCAGCATATTTTTCACACTGTCCCAAGGCCAGTGGTTGCAGAAGACCAACCTAAGGCTAAGAAACAAGTAATGGAGTTCAGGAGCTTTCCAGACTCTTAAATGCAGGAAGTGTTCAGACCTTACTTCACCTTTCCATTTTGAAAAAAACAAACAAAAAAACATTATTTAGATGGCCTAGACCTTGATATTCCCTGTGTTCACAGTGATCATAGTGTTCAAAGTGTTGCATAAGCACTTTGAACTCCATAACTCCTCTTAAAACCATGAAGAAAAATAGATTTTCTGAGCTGTGCTTCAATGAAACTGTGCCCTCAGGCGAGACTGAAGACGAACTGACAGGCGGTGGAAAAAGGGTAAGTTGCAGGTTTCTTTTGACATTCTGAAAAATTGTTTATTCAATTATCAGAATACTGTAAAATCTGAAAAATCTAAATGCTTGGTTGCTTTGGTTTGCTCAAACAAACGTAGGCCTCAGGTTCTTTTTAAAGTTTTAAAGTTATTAGCCCCTCCAAATGCACCTGCTTTTACAGCTGCTGCTGATCTTCGTAGCAAATTCTTAGAATTTTTCACTGACAAAGTTTTAGCCCTTAGGGGGTCTACTATTCTGCCTGTGTTGGATCCCCAGGAAACACCTCTAGGCGATGCTACCTTCGAACAGTTTGAATCAGTTTCTGTCCCATTTGTCCACTGTCGTTAAACATCTGCAGCCAACAAACTGACCATTGGACTGTCTCCCTGCTCGCTTATTTACAGATATTTTTCCTGTCACCTTAATAAATACCTCTCTTTCTACTGGATGTGTCCCAGCTGCTTTCAAACATGCCATGCTATACCCACTTATTACAAAACCCAAATTGGAGCACAGTGTTTTTGCTAATTTTAGACCTATTTCTAAACTGTTGTTTTTCTCAAAAGTTTTAGAGAAGATTGTTTTTACTCAGCTCCAGTCTTTTCTAACAGATTATGATATATCTGAGAAATTCCTGTCTGATTTTAAATGTGGACACAGTATAGACACCGCCTTGCTTAGAGTATTTAATGATCTCCTTCTAACAGTTGATTCAGGGGGCATTAGGGTCTTATTGTTGTTAAGATTTAAGTGCAGTGTTGGATACCATTGACCACAACATCCTTTTATTTCGATTGAAGCACTGTGTTGGTCTTACGGATACAGGTGTAGCTTGTTTCTCATCGTATTTGAAAGACAGAAGTTTTTCTATTCATCTTGATCAGTTTTTCTGTTGCAGCACCTCTAAATTATGGAGTACCTCAAGGTTCAATTTTAGGCCCGATTTTATTTATTTTGCATTATTTGCTGCCTCTTGGACATATTTTTAAGAAATTTAATCCATCTTTTCACTGCTTTGGTGATGATGTGCAAATATACATGCCCCTCAAGAAACTACATCAAGATGATTCCCTACAGTCTTTAACAGATTGCTTAATAGCAGTTAGCCAATGGATGAACCAAAATTTTCCTCATTTAAATCAAAATAAAACTCAAGTTATTCTGTTTGGACTAAAGAGCCTCATTGGTAAATCTGATCAAATTCTTGGTTCCCTTGCTTCCTTTTATCAATCTTCCATTAGGAATCTCGGTCTCATTTTTGACACTTGTCTTAATTTGGATAAGCATGAAATCAAGCTTTTTTCATCTGCGCCTTCTAGCAAAGGTTAAATCTATCTTCTGCCCTGAAGACTTTGAAAAACTTATCCATGCCTTCGTCACTACATGTTTAGACTATTGCAACTCATCATATAAAAATATGGACCAATCTTCTTTACAGCATCTCCAAATGATTCAAAATGCCACAGCAAGACTTTTAACTGGAACCCGGAAACACCAGTAACACCAATATTGGCTTCTCTGCATTAGCTGCCAGTTTTTTATCGGATTGATTTTAAAATTCTTTTATTGGTTTTTAAAGTTTTACATGGCCTAGTCCCAGCTTATCTTCAAGACCTTCTTCATAACCGTTCCGTCTCTAGAACACTTTGGTCAAATAATAAATTGCTCTTACATATTCCCAGAACCAGACTGAAAAGCAGAGGAGACCGGACTTTTGCTGTTATTGCTCCTAATTGTTGTGTACCAGGTTCTGGGGTTAGTTTGCTATCTTTTCAGTTACCACCGTTCGTCCACCAGATTGCGCTATTAGGCTGTGTTTTCCTGGAGGCTGTGCTGGCAGATCTTGACTCTTCACACCTGGGACAATAATCATCTTCACCAGAGGAGTATATGAGCAACAGACTGCCAGCATCTCATCGCCAGAGTGTTTGCCAGTATTGGTACTCTAGCCCCTCGTAGTTTTGCTGAGTTTTTGGAGATCTTTCTGAATTTTCTTGTGCCAACTGTTCTTCTGTGAATCGTCCTCAGGACACCTTCGAGATCCTCTGGGACATCCTCGTGTTCTCCGAGTTCTGAAGAAACCTTCTCGTGACGCCGTGAATCTACTCACCGGATGCCCGAGCTCCACAGTCTCACCTCTCCATTTCACTTACCTCCTGCAAGTATCCAGGTGGCAGTCAGTCTCGCTGCACCTATGTGCCGTCGGGAAACTTACCTGTTCGCCCTCCAACGCCACATCCATCCTCGATCAGCCGACACCATCAGTAATTAAACCACTCCCTGGTACCACTAGACCCTCCCTGGGTCTGAATCTCCGATCTACAAGTAAGAGCTGAGATTTTATGTCGAGTGAATTCAATTCCCCACAGACATTGAACTCATCACCTCTCCCTCTGTGTTCAGTCGTCCCTGGATTCCTGGCCGCAGCTTCCCCACCAAGCAGCATTGTTTAATTGTTTCTTCACTGTTAATAAACATTTCAATCTTTATCATTCTCTCCGTGAGTGTTTCTGCATGTGGGCAAGAAATATAAAACCCATCATGACACTAATGTGTGGAACAACTTGCCTTTAAGCATTAGATCTGCCAAACCAAACTTATCTTTTAAATGATTTTGGGTCAGGATGTTCCGGTTTTACCAGAACAGATCCAATCTCGTAAGCCAGTGTAAGCTGCAACCAGATCACAAAGACAGGCTAAACAGCTGGGGATGATGCATCTGAACCTATAGCTGATGCTGTAGGAACAGGCCAGTAAAACCTGAGACTGCTGATGAACCAAATTCTCTACAAGAACTGTCCTTCTTTATCTAGGATATTCTTGCTGAAAGCTTAGATGAAGTGAGAAAAAGCTAACAACAAAGACGACTTTATAAAATGGCAGGCACAGTTAGACAAATGTCACGAGGATTGCCAGATGTTGATGGGGAAATTGTGGATTCACAGGGTCACTTCAAGAGGCTACAACAGCATGATGACTCACTGATGGGTATTTTGATCAAGCAATTCCAATCACAGATGGAGAAATCATTAAACATATTGATGGGTAAGCTTATATCTTTAGAGATGGGTTACTTTATCTTCAGTGTGGGAAAGGATCTGAGAAACTGGTGGGGCCTCAAGTTCTAAGGGGACAAGTGCGAAAGTTGGGTCACGGTATTTCCTGGGCAGGACACATGGGTTTTAAAAAGATCTATGACAGAATTTCTGCCAGGTTCTGCAGATATTACAGGGTTTCTTATACAACATGCCTCATGCAAAAAGAAAAATACGCTTGTCAGACAGCTAGTTCTGGAGAGACAGGTCGCTACAGCGCAGTGCTTCTCAATCTTTTTTGGACCAGCGCCTGCCTATCCATCATAAATGCTCTCTTACTGCCCCCATCAAAGAAGATGTAGACTACTTGCACTGAATAGTATTTTATGCTTATTATTGCTATCATTATTGTTGCCGTCTTAATTTGTATTGTTATTTCTTTATTTATCATCAAAAATCCTTAGAAGAGAAACAGATTACTGAATTATTAGTTTCCAAAGAACAAAAAAGCCATGTGAATAGAAATAATTTTTAAAGGTGTGTAAGAAAAATGCAATGGACATTCAATATAATATTGGTAGGCCTACCAGCAGCCAATCAGAGTGGGGGAAAAAACTTTTTCTGTGCCTTTTCCTGATGTTAATTACTAAATCTTGCACAAAATGGCCAGATAAAAGATGTACAACAATCAGTTTAAACTTGGAAGTATTTGTGAAAACACTGTGCTCTGCAACATTAAAACACGGACAGAACTGCAACAATATCAATCATAGCTCTTCTTCTCTTCAGTGCTTGTTTCTGGTGGTGCAGCTCTGTGCTGCCTTTTGGAGAGTTGGACATCAGAGTATCATCTATAAAATTTCACCCACATGGCATTTACTGTGCAAACCAGAGCTTTCGGTAGAAAAACAGAAGTTCCAGATCCTTTTAAGGCCACACAAATA